ATTTTATACTAGTGGCATTTTCAGTAATAAAGGAATATCAAATTTATAGATTTTTCTTTGTTTTAATTCATAATATATTTTTGTATCAAATTGCTAGTCATTTGTTAAATTATTTCGGGTGTTATTCTTAAGTTATGACTCGTGAATTAAGCAAATGCGGTCACGAGGTCGGCGACCATGGCTCGATGTTAACCATGAGAATGATAGTGGCAATGTACATGGACACGGCACTCCTAGTCCAACCTGTTTAGGGCAACATACTTGATAATGATGCCGACACATCTACATCTTCTTCAATAATGTCATTATTAGTTATGCCCTCGCCGGTAGTGCTCCACGATGTAGATGATCCTACTACAATTTCCTCAACTCTAAGAAGTTCTACTAGATTTGATGATGGACAAACCAATTGGGTCATAAATAATTGGTAAGCAATATATGTTACATGCAATAATTAGTTGTATATTTTTCATATATTATATTATAATCATTAATTCACTCAAGAAGAAAGCATAGTATAACATGAACAATAACGGACGAAGCATCACTTTTTGGAAAAATTAAATAAGGTGTTAAAGGTAGAGGGATTACTTTTAGCTAATAAATGGTATGCTTCCTCCTTGAATACCATAATTAAAATCTCAAACTAGCGTGGGAAATGAATTTTTTATAAATTCGTAATCTTCCCATAAATGGTATGTTCTTTACTACGACATGTATGAAAGTCTGGTGTAAGGATACTATCAAACTATAAACTAAAACGCTAGCTAGCTTTGAGCCACTTCAACCAAAATCGAAACCAAATACCAAAAAAAAATTATAGACATTTGTTTCGGGCATCTTAAAATAATTATGAAAGTGATCTGGAACTTCGATTCAATGCTATTAGATAAGCAAGACAATAAATTAATACTTACAAGCTTTATAAACATCCTCGATATCGTGGATTGGTAAAAGCAAAACATGTTCAATTCAAAAAAAATTATTAATTTTTGCTTACCTTGCATTTATAAAGAGTATTATAATAGTTGTAATTAAAGATAAATTTTATTTATTGTATTAATTAAATTATATCGTTTTATCTTTCTTTTTTTTCTTTTTTGGTTCATTTTGAACGTGTTGAATTTTATACTTGTTGGCATTTTCAATAATAAAGGAATATTAAATTTATAGATTTTTTTTTGTTTTAATTCATAATAATTCATAACATATTTTATATCAAATTGTTAGTCATTTGTTAAATTATTTCGGGTGTTGTTCTTGAGTTATGTCTCATGAATTGAGCAAATCTAGTCGCGGGGTTAGTGACTATGGCTCGATGTTAACCATGAGGCCGATAGTGGTAGTGTACATGGACGTGGCACTCCTAAACCAACCATGCTAGGGCCACGGACTTGATAGTGGTGCCGACACATCCGCATCTTCTTCGGTAATGCCATTGTCGGTTATGCCCCCGCCAGTGGTGCTCCCCGATGTGAATGATCCCATTATGATTTTCTCAACTTTAAGAAGTTCTACTAGATTTGATGATGGATAGACTATTTGAGTCGTGAATAATTGATAAGTAATATATTTCATATGCGATAATTAATTGTATATTTTTCATGTATTATATTATAATCATTAATTCACTTATTTATTTATTTTTTTATTCGACGGTTTGGTTCCATGAAGCAATTGTTCCACAAAAATTATTATAATTTTCAAGGAGCGATTGGACGTCGTTGGCTCTACATGGAAGTTTGTCTCTATGGAGATGAAAGACTTTTACTTTAATGAGTTAGAATAACATATTAATTATTTACATATATGTTATTTAAAATGTTAATTTAATATAAAAGGTACTAATATTATTTTTTCCTTCATGTAAAAGTACTTTTTATAGGATGCATGGTCGAAGCATTAATTAAGGATGCGTGGAAGAGTCCGACACGGAAGCGATACGATGACATGCTTAACAAGCTTAAGCATAAGAATAACATACATGTGTTTATTAGACATGAGGTATAAGAAGCACGACACCGAGATTAGGCCACTCTAAAGCATCATGTTATCTTAGCGAGGCTTCTCGAAACCGTATGTCGAAGATTGATGGTGATGGTGCTAGCCTAGCCAAGCTGATTAGGGGGTCCATCTCTTTGATTGAACATGCTAAGCATTTAGTAAATCATTTATCATCCATTGTATTATAAATTAATTAATTTATTTATTTCATCTCATATTGTTTATTTTTTAGCATAATAAATTGGATCATAACCCAAAACCTTACGAGTTGTTCGTGATCATTCACAAGTGAAAAGATAGGACAGGAGATCACGAACGATAATGGTAAGGTTTTATATTTTTAAAAAATATATGTACATCTACCAATATAATCTAAAATATATATTTATGATTTAATATTATAATTATTTCAATTAACATAGGAGCGCATGCGATCAATACAAGAAGTAGCCATTAAGCCATTATAGGGTGATTCATCTTCTTCAAAATAGCGAAAGAAAACAAAGAGTGTACGACGTAAGAACTTATGGGTTCCAAGTATTACTCTTATTTTGGCACCAACTCCTCCTCTCGCCACTTCATGGTATCCCGATAGTGATATCTAAGATTTTTCTATCTAGTACAAAGATAGGATTAAGGAGATTGAGGCTATCATCCAACGAACGAGCCGGCCGAGTTAGCAATAAGCAAACTCAATTATAGAGAGTGAGGAGGTTGTTAGAGAACCTCTCACGGACCAACATCCCTCATGTTGATCCTACATGACCTAGGAGAGAGCCGTTCCTCTCAACACCTAGCAGTTGAAAAATGATGCGAGAAAATGATCACTAGATTTTTTAGTTTTTAAAAGTTTTTAATGTTTTTGTACACCTTAAAGCATTTATATATTTATTTTATTTCAATTTATACTATTTTAATTTTATTAAATAATATATCATATTTTAATAAAGTGTTATTTATATTTATTTTTTATTACAATTAACAATATACGACTATCGATTTTTTTATAATAATAATAAAATTAGCAATGGATTTAGCGACGAAAACATATATAGTGGCTAAATAACGATAGATTTAATGACGAAATTACGAAGATGTTAACAACTATGATTTAACGATAATTTTTTCGTCGCTAATGTAAGTGGAAATAGAAATGGTATGACGACGGATATAAGATATTACAAACTACTGTTTTAGATCAATTTAGCGATGAAAATTCAATAATTTAATGACGAAAAAAATTCAGTCACTAAAAAAATAACAACCACCATATTAGCAACGAAATATTTATTGTCTCTAATTCATCGCTAATTACATATAGCGACCAAAAAATCCGTCGCTATTTAGCAAAATTTTGACACTAAATGTTATTATAAAATTTTTATTGCTTAGACCACATGTGTTGTAAGATAAGTATGATTTGTAACCAAATAAAAAGACATAATTGTAAATAAAAAAAAAGGGGGCAAAAGTTGCTTGCACATTTGGAAGATCTTAGTTATAAGAGCATCTACAATGCTCTCTTTATATTAAGATTTTTCTTTATAATAAAGAGGGTTTGGCCCAAATTTCATCTTCAATGCTTTCTTTATCACAATCTATATCTTTAAAATTAAGATACAGAATGTCTTTGACTCTTCGATACTAGAGAATCCAGATGACTCTTTATCTTATATTTCATTGATGAAAATTATTATTTCCTATGCCATTCGGCCTCTTCACCAATAGTCTTTTTGGGTTTTATAGATTTTGTCAAAATAAAAAGTTAAAGTAGAGAGTAGCATTGGAGAGGACATTGATCTTCAATCTATATAATTAATGATGCTCTCTATTTATATTAAAAATGTTAATTAAAAGTAGAGAACATCATTGAAGATGTTCTAAAAGCTACTTAACAAGCGAGCATAGTTTAACATGAACAATAACAAACGAAGCATCACTTTTTGGCAAAATTAAATAAGGTGTTAAAGGTGAAGGGATTACTTTTAGCTGATAAATGGTATTCTTCCTCCTTGAATACCATAATTAAAATCTCAAACTCGTGTCGGAAATGAATTTTTTATAAATTCCTAATCTTCCCATAAATGGTATGTTCTTTACCACAACATGTATGAAAGCTGGTGTAAGGATACTATCAAACTATAAACTAAAACTCTTAAACTTCAGATTCAACTAAATAAAAATGACTAACTGCAATCTACACAAACGAGACAGACAGAGATCTTTCTTTCCGCAATCATGTGCAGGAATTCTAGAAAATTACAAGAAAGTACAGTGCTGTTTTTTTTTTCCTTCCCCTTTCCTCTCTGCAAATTCAAAATCACAGCAGAACTATCATGAACGGAAAATCTGCACTAAAAAGGCTGCAATTCATTGGAATAATAATCTAAAGTAAAGGGATGCTAAGTTGCTAACAGCAGAAGTAAAGCCAGCACAATACAAAAGTTCCCCGATTAAAAGAAAGCCAATCTGCATAACTGCAAAGTAAAAAACTGCACAAGTGCATCAAAATCCAAACAAGAAACACAGAGCCATGGAATTAGCACAAAGTAAAGCTCAGATAGTCAACAATGTCGTTGTTTTTCTTTTGGGGGAGCATACTTAGAGGCAGTCCATAAGAATGCTATCCCTCTCAACAAGAGCAAAGTGCTTAAAATGATCAGTCCAGGAATAAAAATCTAGTGCAAATATTTAGGCCATTTTACAACTGTGCAGCGCTCCACATGGAGACTTTACAACAACTCCATGGAAAATGACCTCTAGTCTATTCTTTTCATGTCAGAATCAGATCAATCAATCAATTCTCCTACAAGGGTTTGTTATCTATTACATCCACATATACACTAGAAGTTTTAAAATTTGCTTGCATGTATGTATGTATACCAATCTGCCAAGGGAATTAGACCTGCCCCAAAAATTTAAAATTACAGCTCTATTGTTACACCGCATGCTTCGGAAAATACAGAAAAAAGGAACACCCTATATCCTTAAGCCAATTACCAATAGTCTCTACAAGAACAAGTCCCTTCCTTAAAGTGGTGAAATCGGTTAGCGTCGCGTACAATGATATCCCTGTGTGTGATAGCTGACACCAGCTTACAAAATGTGTGACAATCACCACAAACCCTCAGATTCTTTGTAATCCCGATTGCTGTTCCCTCAGGTGTGGCAATAAGGCCAAATGCAATTGCCAACTTCTCACTATGTGCATACAAAATTCCAAGTTTAACCTCCTCATCAACATCATGTAACACAGAGTTTGTATCAGGGACATAACCAGCTGATTCCAATTTCTGACTTAAACTCTTCAGCATCTCATAGATCTCCTTTGATCGAGGATGACTACTATCTCCAGCACCAAATTGATAAATAATGCTATCCACCTCAATCCAAGTATAACCAGGCACTTTCTTTAGCCTTCTTCTGGTCATTAGATCCCTAATTTTTGCCACATCTTTCCACCTGCCAGCATTTGCATAAATATTTGAAAGCAATATGTAGTGTCCCGGATTCTGAGTTTGTAGCGCAAGAAGCAATTTTGCTGCCTTCTCTGCCAAGTCTACCTTCTTATGGATTCTACATGCTCCAAGCAAAGCACACCATACCCCCTCATCTTTCTCAACCTTCATGTTCTCAATTAATCTCAATGCCTCATCTAGCCTCCCAGCACGCCCCAGGAGATCAACCATGCAAGTATAGTGCTTCACATTAGGCCTCACACCATAATTAACTGACATCAAAGAGAAAAGTTGAAGACCTTCATCGACCAAACCTGCATGACTACAAGCGTACAGCAACGAAACAAATGTTATTTGATTAGGTCGTATTCCACTACTCAACATCATATGAAACAAATCAAGCGCCTCCCTGCCTTGTCCATGGCATCCATAAGCCCCGATCATTGCACTCCATGAAATCACATTCTTTTGCTCCATCCTATCAAAAATTTCCCTAGCAGAATCAACGCTCCCACATTTAGCATACATATCAATCATCGCCGTCCCCAATACCACATCCAAAGAATACCTCTTAGCACATATATAGTCATGAACTAACCTAGCTTTATTCGTAGCGCCTAATCTAGCACAAGCATTTACAATAGTCACCATCGCAACCTTGTCAGGCACAAAACCCTCTTTTCTCATCTGATCAAACAAAACCCACGATTCGTTTGGTTTTCCACATTCAGCATACCCTCCAATCATGACTGTCCGAGTGACAAGGTCCTTTTTAGGCATTTTATCAAACAGCTGCTTGGCATTGTCAATTATGCCGCATTTTGCATACATGTCCAGCAAAGTAGAACACACAAAATGATCAAAATCTAACCCATTTTTCAATGCCACACAATGAATCGATCTACCCATAATCAACCCCATTGTGTCCCTACAAGCTCTTATAACAGATGGCAATGAATAGTTATCAGGTTTTGACCCACATCTAATAAGCTCCCTAAACGTCTCAAAACAAAGTTTATAATCACCATTTTTAGCAAGCCCATCAATCATAACAGTCCAAGAAACTGGGTCTCTCTCTTCCATTTTATCAAACAAGAGGTAAGTGCTAACTAAATCTTTGTGTCTTGCATATATGTATAGGAGCTTATTAGCAACAACAAGGTCACTAGTTATGCCAGTAGTGTTTACCTGGCAGTGAACTTGTTGAATTTGAAAAATGTTTTTACACTTAAAAAGCGTGGAGATAAAAAGATCGGGGTCTAAAGAGAATGAAAGATGAGTACTTGGCATGTTTTTTATTTGGGCATTGGAATCTAAGGTGGATTGTTGTGGAAATTGAGGCTGAGGTATGGTGTCTGAAATAGCTGCAGAAGCTGTAGAAGCTGAGAAGAACCGAAGCTTTTCATGGTTAGAGAAAAGGGTGGCTTGGTTTTTCAGTTTCAACATAACAGTAAGTTGTCAATAGAAAAGACTGAGAGGTTAATAGATACAAATATTGAATTTAACTGTTTATAAACGCAAGTTGGGAGCACGAGACAAGATCCACCTTCTATTTCCTTTTTAATAGCATCTACCTTGGCTTTAAATAACAAGCACCTCACTTAAGATGTTTTTCTTTGTTGAATTCAATATTGCACCTAGCTGGTGCAATAAGAAAATAATTGCAAAATTTGATGTATTCAGCAACAAAATGATGCAAATCCAATTCCTAATCAGTTGAAAAACAAAAGAATTGCAAAGGAACAATTAGGGAAAAAGTAATTCTTATTCAAATTGGACTGAATCCATGTTCTTGAACTACAATTGCAAATCAATGAAAAGAACGCAACTGATAGTTTGAAAGAAGAAGAAACACAGAAGGGAAGAACAGAGAGATTAGAGAGAGAACTAGAGAAAGAAGAAAGAGAGAATTCTTGCTAACATCACAACTGACTTAACACACTTTCCTCGCTCTCTTTAACAGCCCAACTAATTACAAACAATTACAACTACTAGTGCCAGCTCACATAATTGCTAGTAGGGGTGAGTATTCAGTTAAATGGTTCGGTTTTGTACGATTCGATTTGATTTTTTATTAACCGAATTAAAAAAAATAAAAACTAAAATCGAACCGAAATAAATTCGATAAATTCGGTTTGTAACCGAATTATTTTGGTTTGGTTTCAAAATATTTCGGTTTTAACTATAAATTCGGTTTGTAACTGAATTATTTAACCGAAATATTTTACTATAAAAAAAATCATTACAGAGAGATGTTTTGTACTAGCACTTAGTCCACTAGCCAATAAAGTAACATCTTGTTATCAATTAATCCTTTTTATAAACAATCACAAAGCCGTTAAAGATTTTAACTAAGCTTTAATGAAAACGAGTCCAAGTGTAATAAATTTGCTCATTCAAACACACCGTATCCTAATTAATTATACTCGTCACTTTCTTTTCTTACCCCAACAGATCCTCAAAATTTACTTCCTATCTGCGTGTTTCAGTTTCAACAAGAATGAAGATTGAAAAGTTAGAGATTTAGAAACTAGAAAATTTTTTACTTTTTATTTCGATTTTCAGTCGAAACCGAAATTTTTTTCTAAAAACCGAACTCGAACTGAAATAATTTTGATTTTTTCGATTCGGTTTTATATTGTATAATTTTATATTTAAAACCGAACCAAATTTCATAATTCGGTTCGGTTTTATTCGATTTTTGATTAACCAAATCGTTTGCTCACCCCTAATTGCCAGTTCACATATTTGCCAATTAAGCTGCCAACTCTGCTAGCTGACTTGCTACTCATTCCTAACAGTTCCAATAATTCATAAACGACTGCATCACAAAATCACTAGGTAAAGTCGACAAAAACATTCTTAACAAAAGGATTCCGGAAAAGCAACTCAACAAAACTTCAATTTCTGCTTGGAGTGATTGAAAACTCTCATGCGTAAAACTTTACATTCATCCTGTTAAGTTACAAATTACGTAAGTAGAACTGAACAGAACAGTACCACCACTGAAAATAAAACTTGAACCCCAAATGTGTGGTCCTGTACCTCACTTTACATCCATCCTGTTAAGCTACAAAATACTAAATCCCAAGATGGGATTTATTATTCTAGACACAAGAAATAAGCAATACACCCTTTTTTCCTGCAGACTTGCAATTTTCAATTATAACCGTGTACGCAGATGGTACAGAATACAGATACATATAGGCATTCACTGTGGAGACATAAATGCAACACAGCCAAGCTATTGCTGATTCAGTTGAACAAGGGGTGACCGTGGTATTAGAGAGGGTTTCAGTTCTTTGACCTCAAATGTTTCATATGAATTGTTTTCTCGAAATTCCTCGAGAAGATTTTCCATTGGCATTGCACGAAGCGATTCAATGGTCCCCTTGCTAGGAACATCTGGCTCACTTCTCACTGGTGTTGTGCCTGTAGGCTCATATTCCTGCACGTTAGATCCAGAAATGTAGCAAGTGAGCGTAATATTTCAAGGACATAAACGATCGCCCATCAGACAGCTAAACAGAAGCATTAACAAGATGTAAATTATTAGTAGATAACTCCCCAACTTTAGATAAATTAACAGAGTTATTCGACGCATAAAGTCATAAACTTTGAGGTGCAAATATTTCAAGGACAGTTTCATGCATTTTGCTGCATTTAGTACATGTCTGGCAACTGAACTCAACAAGCAACACTATCCATCCATCTGCCTGACATTCGGCATGAGCAACACTTTCATCCATCCATCTACCTGACATATAGCATACACCACTGAAACAACAGGCATGCCATAACACGACTAAGGCATTTTGCAACCAAATGAGGTTAAATTTGGTTACTTGAAACCTGGTAGCAGGTATATTTGCACGACCAGGCCCACAAGAGTATGTGATTTAAGAATTCAAAACAGCACATCTGACAATTCCAATATAGAGTTGTCAATATTTCAACGAGCTTCAAAGCAAATCATACCACCATCCCTAACTTGTACGGCTAATGACCTGAATTGTGCATCTCCAAGACTGAATAAGATCAAAACAATTTCCTGACTTTTATTATTTAATAAACCTTGCAGTCAATCTATTTCGCCTTCCACTACTTGAGTAGAGGCTTAGGTTTGCTAAACCAAACCAACTTACCATATATTGCTTCTCAAATGTTTCCTGTGCTCTATCTTCAATAGCTGCAGCTTTGCCAGAGTGATCCTCTCTGAAAGTCTCCAGTGTATTAGAGTGAGCTTTAACAGCATCCAAGATTCTACATACAGATTCTCGCTCTTCCTCTGACACTCCTGCAAACACATTCACATCAACATTAAATTGATATCCCAAATCATAAAGCAACGAGTGCAATGTCAAAGTATGTCAATATACACAGATCCTCTTGCATAACTGAATTTACATGCACAAACAAGTCAGAATTCTCTTTGAAAGAGGATAACTTGTAAACTAACTACTTTAAACATGCAGTATTGTTCCCTGAACTATTTCTGACGATTCCAAAATTGTACTTTTGCATTTACTGCAGAAATCAGAGACTGGATACTTTTGAAAAACAGAACAGAGATATTTAATGAAAGAGGCATGATCAAAAAAGTTGTAATGTACAATGTTCAAAATCATCGTAACATTCTCCATGAATCGCCACAAGAGTGTTTACTTGTGCAACTTATCTACCTATCATATGCTATTTCAGGGAAATTTTAAACCATGGGAAAGGCTGCAATTATTATACTTCAGGGCAGAAAAAAGGGAGGGCTACAATAATTCAACTTACTGTCAGTGTGCTTGAGAACATCGTCACTATTCTTCGCCACATCTTGCTCAGCTATAACCCGTGCAAAATCAATCTCAACATCATGCTGCTCGATGCTGTCAGATGCATTTCTGGACCAAGGCATTGAAAAGGGGAAAAAGATGAATTTCGACAAAATGATGAATTGACCTAATGAGAACTGTGAAATGAGACAGAAAAATGAAAGAAGGATACAATCATAGTACTCTATGGCGAGAGCCAAAACCACAGCATGGTGAACCATACTGGCTGGACATGGATTCTCATATAAAGATGCACTTGTGCGTTATATGAGACAACGGATGTCAAGATTAAAAACATATTAAAAATGTTAAGAGAGTATGGCATTTCCACCTTGTAAGGGATACCAATTCTGAAACATTGCTGTTTCCCATCTCATTCACAGAGTCATGTGTCTTCTGCCAATGCTTGAAAGCTGATCCAGCAGTGCTTACACTAAAGCAAAGAATAGAGAACCAACTGATCAACTAAAGAATAAAAGATATTGAGTCCAACTACAACACACAGAAGACTTTACAAACCATTGCTGTAGGAGTGACTCCATCCTACAGTGTTTGGCAGCAGAATAATCCGCAATATCCTTAGCACCATCCTCAGCCTGCATGGAAAATTCCTGCCACTTTCGTTTTGCATCTGTTGACACACACTCCATTGAAGAAACATAACCATCCAAGAATGCCTTGTTTCCAGTAGCAGCTTCTCTAAGATCAACAAGCCTTGCATCCACCTATTAACTTAACCATCAGCATCTTAACAATACATCAAACAGGGAACTAAAGATGAAAGAAAATAATGTAGCCAACCAGCTCTTGTTGACGCTGAAGGTGGCCGGAAACCAGATTATTGATATCAACAACAAGCTTTGCAGCATCGGATTTTGATTGCTCCTGCACAGTTCAAGCTTTCAGTTGGTAATGCAGAACAGGAAATGTTCACTCATCTTTAATTACTTTACCATGTCGCACCTCATAAGCCTTCTGTAAATCAGCAATATTTTTCATTTGAATTGCATCAGCTTGCACTGCATGATTTTCCAGACTTTTGCACTGTTCCAAAATCTTATTAAGAAATCCTTTCATGTACTCAGAAGCCTCCTCTCTTTGCTCGCTGCTGACATGGAATCGCTGTTCAACCCAAAGCAAAACAAAGTAACAAGATAAGAGATAGCAAAGAAGCAATGAATAAGAAACAAAAAGAATAAATTGGAAGATCAACCAGAACACATCTGACTAGGATAAGTAAGAGTAGCAAACTACAGGTAAACATTTGGAAAACAGTAAACAGCATTAATAACATCTGATAAAGAAAGTACAAAAGCAAGTTACTGATGACTTTCAATGTTCAAGGGATAATATTATGAAATAAAGAACCACATGTAGTAAGCATAAACGAAATTATCTGTTGATACCCAAACCAAATAAATATTAAAAAAAAAAAATACAAGGTAAGATTAAGGATCAAACCTGACGCATTTCCCTGGCAAAAAGAGCTAGTTCCCCCTGGTGAGTTGAAAGACTATTCTGAAGATCATCAAAAATTGAAGCTGCTTGACCAGCCTCTGATGCTAGATACTGATTTGAAAAAGAAAATCAAACAAATAAATGAATGTTCATGGAACGATTAAA